GCCTATATACAACACAACATAGAACTGCACCTGGCGATTCGCCCTACCACACGGATACTCCGCATCCCCCCCCTTCCGGTCGCACAGGAGACTCTCTCCCCACCCGCCACGACCCAGACAACATCTGACTTGTCTCCTCCTCTCTTTTATAACCCCTCCGCCCTCCCCCCCCGCCGCTCCGCCACTCGTCCAGAAAAGGACAACACACAATCACCGCCCCACTCGCTAATCCACTCACAGCATCCAACCCAACACACAGACCATCCACTCACCCCTCCTCACATTCTACTCCTCCTCCTTACTATACCAAGCCGTACATACATTTGATTACACTTTTATTTATAACATTCACAATCAGATTTTGTCTTTATCTGAGGTTAACAGGTACTTTCTCATGATACCTTAGAAGAACCACTGAAGTTCGCATACTGGCTACACCCAATACCAACCCAACTGCCTCGACAGCCCCCCCCACCCAGAAAAATGGTGTTAAAGTAAGCAAATAAAGTCCACCAACCCGCGCCGAGAATTGCACAGACAGCAGTTAGTAAGATTGATTTCAGCCACTTGTCTGGAAATACCGAAGACCAGAAACGGAAAACTTTTGTCACGTAGTGATCGTCTTCTCAATAGAACATCTTTGATAATGTCTTCTGGCCAATCAGAATCAAGATAACGGCGTGGTGTTGTTGCAGGAAGTCCCAACGGAGAATACTTTTGCTGTAGTACAGGGGTGCACATAACTGGTACGCAGGTTATGTGCGTAATCTGAAATGCGTACCGTCACTTGATTCACAAAGCGCATTTGCGTGCCGACGTACTTGTGAAGCTTTTCCAGAAGGCGGTTAGATCACCGGACGACAGAGTCGGTCTCCGTGTGCACAGACAGGGCTGCTGTTAACGTCGGTCTGTACAACGGAATTGTGCCAAAACTACGCCAACCGGCTGCGGAGGGAGACTCCCCCCCCTTCACTGGAGAACTGCGCTAAAACATCTGATCACAACGTTCACACTCTGTGGTCACGAAGTACTCCACTAGCCCCCCCGTCGACTTTCCTGAAGTACTACCCCGTTGGTAGAAATCAACACGTAATGAATTAAGACCCCACGGTTTGTTGATTGATAGGTGTGTGGGCTGTCTTTCATTTTGACACACAGAAATTTTTTATAATAAACATACATACTGTATGTGAAATGGATATGTCCGCCTTCTTTCATTTATCTTTCCATTCCCACAACAATATACATAAAGAAATGGCATATTTTGGACATAGTTCGAATGGTGATTAATCATGATTAATGAATTTTTAAACTGTGATTAATCTGATTAAACATTTTAATCGTTTGACAGCCCTAGTTTTTTTCCCAAAACTTTCTACATATATATTTTGTACCATATCTAAGTTAAACATATCTAGTAAAAGAACCGTACATTTTTATATCTTATTTTCAGACTGTATTGGAATGTTCTTCCTCTACCAAAAATGGTCACTACCGAAACATAAGGCGCTTTCACACCGCAGTACTTTTCCCACTTTAGTTCCGATATAGTTCCGAAAGGTTGCGTTCACACCAAAGAAATCCGGAACTAAAATTAGTTAATCAGAACCTTTTTACCCCCTTTTCAGTCCCTGCTAGAGAGCAGGTACTTTCGTGGGAGAAAAAGGTTCCTATTTCTGATTGGCTGGGTGGAATGCAAACCACGCCCCGTAAAACTCCCCAAAAAGTTTTGTGAAGCCGCCATTTTATTATCCTCGCATTAGCATTATTAGCATTAGCCCAGCGCACAAACGCAGAGAGACTAACTTATGGCAACACAAAAGAAAACCGGTGCTTGAATTGGGCCGGTACTCATCGGTATGCAGTACCGGCACTTCTTACTGAGTACCGGCAAGGTGCCGGTGCTAAGTAAAATGCCGGTACTCAGCCGCCGGCGGCACGTCATGACGCATGACAACAAATATGCCCAGCGTACCTAGATGGGCCGGCAGCATCTCATGACGCATCTATGATGCGCCGCAGCGATAGACTAGAGCAGAAAAGACATCACATAACGTTAGCATTTCGAAAATGTTAGCTTGGATTAATAATAGTGCAAAAAGACAGCGGTTGTCGCCGGACAAGGATTCCCTCTCTCCTTTCCTGCTGAAAGATGGTGAGTGTACTCAGGGACGAGGAGTCATTTAACCAGCCGCCAGTAGGAGTCAGGCTTTACTTTCTTTTATATCCATAAAGAAAAAGTAAATCTGTTTACAGTTGTTTCATATGGATGTTGAGAGGTATCCATATATATCTTCCTTTTGCTCCCAAAGTGCACCAGATTGATGCATCTAACTTCAATATTTTGAAAAAATCTTCCCGGGGGAGCATGCCCCCGAACCCCCCTAGGGTGTCAGGTCCACTCCCCATTTATAAAAATAGCACTTTACCACTGCACCCCCTCTAATCTCAGATGCACCCTGAGTCATTTTGTTTACGTATAGTGAGCCTTTCTAAAATATACAGTAAAGAGACAAACCCACCAGCATTATAGAATATACTATATGACTTTGAGCCAAATACTTGTTTTTGGGCTGTATAAATTAATTGACTTGAAACAGTTTCTGATTTAGAGTACTGGCACCTTTTTTATTCCAATTCAAGCACTGAATATATGAGTAAATGTTCTTCACTATCACTCTCAGACAGATATCTATGATGACTCCTCTTTTCCCGAGCGATGCAGATCTGAGCTCAGAGGGTCGTCTGCACAGTGCGGTGTGATTTTAATCCCAGGCTGAACTCGTGACCCTGAACTACTCATGAACATGCAATCGCTGTCTCATTGTGAGTTGATAATCACTCTCTCTGCCTTGACCTGCAAACAATTGGGTTCACTTTCAATCAGTGTTTTACATAAAGACATCACAGTCAACATGTTAAGTGTTGATTCACAAATCTTCAGTGTGTTGCAAGGAATCATAACAACCTTAAGTTACAACAAGTGATCAAAGTTTATTTAGTTCAAAAGTTAAAATGTCAGCATATTTTAAATAACATCCTTATCTGTTAATCCTGATCACCATTAAATATTATTTTAATACCATAATATTTATTTATTGTAGCAATGCCAAGGTAAAAGCCACTCTGATGTGATGATCGCTATAAATCAGATACCTTACATGACCCTGGCAGATATGAGCTTAAACTATTAATTAAACGGTCAAAATAATCAAATGTGCTTATTGTTAACAAATCTAAAAATACAATCCATAAACACTTCGTACAAGCTCTTGAGAAAAAAGTAAACCAAACTCTTAAGAAGAAGTCTTTTAGCTGTTGTAAAGTCATTCAGTTTTATGATTCTCTCGATAAGCAATTTACAATATCTTGTTTATGGCCTCATTCAGTCACTGATTCTTTCTTCTTGTCAGATTATGCAACTTTTACTGACTCCCATGTTTTTTAACAGCGCTTAAAGTCTTTCAGAAATGTTCTTAGCTAACCGTCAATGTCAAAACAGTTCGTATTTGAGGTTTTAATAACAGCAAGCGGGAAAAGGGAACATTTAGGTTTGTTTTTGGCTGTAACACACAAGTAAAATATTAAATACAGTTGGTCTTCTAACATGAAATCATCTATGACAAAACTCAGATTTAAAGTTATAACACGGTTTGAGTTATCATTTGACTTTGTATAATGTATTTAATCTTTCTATGGTGTAATCAGACATATACAATATGGTATAATTTGAGTAACATTTTACGTACCCATTCAAAACATTGCCAAGAAAAGAGCACACATGTTTTCGGTATTTTTTTATTTCTCTTCAAAATGTAACCAATTCCAGTTATGGGATCAGGTGAATGAATAACTGTTAGCAACAGAGGCAGCTGATGGACTTTAACAGTGCATTAACATGGCATCATAAAGCATAAAGGGGACTGCAGTGGAAATGTGACAGGAAGCCAATCAAACAATAAAAGTGCCACTTTGTAATTTAAAGCTGCCGTCATTTTCCATGAACAATGGACCAGATCACTGTGTGTAAAGTGGAGGGGTCTTTAACCTGTTAAGCCCCAAGCCTGTTATTCAGGTCTCGGGCTCGAAAAAGACATTTCCAGAACAAATGACCATAACTACACTTCTAAAAGGGGAAAATTAATAATCTTTTTTCTCAAAGTAATGATAAACCTGTGAGTTGGATGTAGAAAAGTGAGAATCAATATAGATGTTTTTTTATTTCGTCCGAGCTGGCAGTATGAGGAGTAACCAATAGGCTTTTAAAAATGTAAATATAACAAAATTAGCAAAGATGTGGAAG